CACCCGCTGTGACGGACCGGTGAGCGGAGCGAAACACTCTAATGGCGCATTTCCACTGCAGCAGGTAGCCCCGTTTAATCGTCCTCAAGCGGCCTGGCCAGTTTTTGTGGCCTTTCCATATAGTGTAGCACCGGCTAGCGGGTACTTTTTCCCTCTTTTTCCGGCCCCATAAAATCTTGGTTCTATCAGGCCAGGGCCAGGGCTGAACTAGTGACGTCAACACTCTCGACTGCTGATTGGTCAGAGAGAATCGTCACAAGATCGCGCGCGAGATCATCCCTAGCGTCGCATATATATCTAGAAGCAAGCTTGCAGCATTTTTATACACAGAATTTTTGTAAACGGAGGAGCTACAAAAATGGCAACGTCAAAGAAAAGCACACCGTGGTCGACCGAGGAGGTGACGACGTTCCTACATCTCATTGGCCAAAAAAAAGCCGATCGCCTCGCCTACACTGCGTTGCTACCCCAGGTCCTAAACTGTAATGGAAATGCGCCACGGCCTCGGACGGCCAGCGAGGCAGCCCGAGGCCTGAGCGAGGACGCTTAGGGACGCTTAAACGGGGCTACCCCGCTGCAGTGGAAATGTGCCATTATCTTATTACCAAGGAGTGAAAGTAGTTGCTTTTAGCTCTACAGCTCTATATGGCTTGTTTAGGCTCTTTAAGCTCATGATTTTATTATGTTTCCTCTCCTGGGTGTTCGCTCCATGGTTTTCTTTCACCTCTATCCTCGACCCTGATTAAAGCAGTTAGTTGCAGCCAACAAAATATACAAATTAAATTCCACTGATATTTGTAAGAGTTACTGGAACTGAAGTCTAATTTAATTTTTGTTTTGTGTTAATGCAAGAACATGACTTGGATCTGTCCATCTCACAGCAATGTATCTCTCTGTGTCCAGACCTCCAGTCCAAGGCTGCCGAGCTGAACCAAACTCTCTCTCGGAACGATGGAACTCCAGAAAAAAGCCTGGAGGAGATGAAGGAGGAGATCCAGGCCATGCTAGACGAGATGAGAAAACGACAGCTGGGAGGGAAGAAGAACATCGCCGACGAAGAGATGGAGTATGGACACACTTGAACACACACACACACACACACACACACACACACACACACACACACACACACACACACACACACACACACACACACACACACACACACACACACACACAAACAGGTCATGTATCTTACTCCCACATACAAGAAAAAGACAGATTTTTAAGAAATACTTTGCAAACAAACCGTCTGTGTTTCAGATGGAGCAAACACACACACACACACACACACACACACACACACACACACACACACACGATGAGCAAACCATAACTGTACATTTCTTAACGAACAAACTCAAAATATGCCAAGAGACAGGAACAAACTGAGCCTCTTTGCTATTAAGCACTTTATTTAGTGTTAATGTTTTGTGTTTATAGAGCTTTCAGTCTTACGAATAGTTTTTGTGTTTCCTTTCTTCTTTTAAGTCTTGTTTGATGATTTGACCAGAACCCCCTTTGGTATTTGCATGGAAACACACTTTTTTCACCCACTTTTTTCTATTTTCTTCTGTTGTTTCCACTCATACCTGTATTCTAATATATTCACCTTGTGTGTGTTGGATTGTCTCCGCCCCTGCTGGGATTCAATCCCACTTTTCGGTCTTCCTGCTTGTTGTTCAGCGGGATGTTTCCCCACTACACTCTTTCTCTCTATTTGAACTTGCACAATGAGAGAGGGGGAGGAGAAATGAAATCAAATGCATCTTAAGTCAATGTGACAAAAAACATACCTGCATGCTATAGAAATGTAAACTATATTTTGAGTTTGCAACTTTTTTACACTAGCAAAATGACACACTTAAAGACAAAGGCAGCAATGTTAACTGTAGTAATACAATCTGTGTTTCTGAACATTTGCAGGTTGCACGAATGAAGCTATTTGGATATATTTTCCCGATACAGAAATAGGCTAACCAATGGCTTCTATTCATTTATTTACATCATTAATATTACACAGCAGACTTCAGTTGTGTAATAAATCAATGCAGACATGAAACATGCAGAAGTAAATGAATTTTGACAATGTTACCAAGACAACAGTAAATGTTACCTTGATGTTTTAGTCTAATTGATTTTTATAATACATTTTTGAAGAAAAAGCAGCAACTACACGTAGCCTTGTTTGTAAAAGTGTTTGCTAAATTGTTAACAGGAGTGTAGATTATACATTAAAGGTGGGGTAGGTAAGTTTGAGAAACCGGCTCGAGATACACTTTTTGTTATATTCCATGGAATGCTCTTAACATCCCGATAGCAATGAATATTTGAAGTGCTTTGACAACAATGTCTAATCTGAAGTGTTTTCTGTTGGTTCCAGTTTCTACCTTTTGAGAGGAGAAGCTTTTCAATGTACTTATCCAGATAGACTCCCCAACAGAAATGCACAGTTATTGAAAAAAATATATTTTGATGATATACTATATTATAAAATTATGGCTTTCTACTCATCATATTAAGCCTTTTTTGTTTCTCTAAATGTTACGTCCATGCTATGTAGTCCCATTTTCAAGAATACAGATATGTTTTGAATGGCTAGAACAGTTTTTATATGTATATGAGTAATAAGAAATTAATTAAAACATTTAATAAGTGCAACACTCACATTTAGTGAGGTTTAATCCTAAAAGAAATCACACAAAAGTTGACCAAATTGTTGCCTCACCATGGATAACATTGAATTAATCTACAGGAGAATTACTATTTTGAAGTATTACAGTAATATATCGTTATACTTTTATAGATTTCAAGGTGGGGTAGGTAAGTTTGAGAAACCGGCTCGAGATACACTTTTTGTTATATTCCATGGAATGCTCTTAACATCCCGATAGCAATGAATATCTGAAGTGCTTTGACAACAAATCCATACAAAAATTCTAGCGCACTCGAGCTGGTTTCTCCAAAATTACCTACCCCACCTTTAATGTAGCACATTCAATGAGTTAAATCATTACATATTTTTGTATTTCTTTGCTTCTTTTGTTGACCAATGAGGAGTAAACGCCTCTCATCGAGCAGATATGTGATCGCTGCGTATCCCAAAGCCTCGACTCTCTGCTGATGATTTACCAAAGTGTTTCTCACTGTTTCCACTCTCACTTTCTCGTTCTCAAGGCACTTGATGGAATGAGTCATTTATTTCGTAGTCTGATTGATTTTCATATCGTCAAAAAATAAAATCACAGGCCCTTCATTTATTTTTTAGTCTTTAATTTCGTTGCTTCTTTGTTGACTCATGAAACATCAGGAGTAAACGCCTCTCATCGAGCAGATATGTGATCGCTGCGTATCCCAAAGCCACGGCTCTCTGCTGATGTTTTAACAAAGTGTTTCTCACTGTTTTCACTTTCTCCCTCTCAAGGCACTTGATGGAATTAGTACTCTCTTCATCCCCTCTCCCTCGTTTCTCTCTGTGTCTTTCAGCAGTAAATGTTGATGAGGTCGATGAGTTAATTAAAAGCAATGTATCGCCTTAGGGCAAGAGACAGAGAGAGGAAAGGATACAAAGAAAGTGTAGTGAGAAGAAAAATCACAGAGGGAGAGGGGAACAACTGACAGATGGACAGGGGGTTGGAGAGGGAGAGACTTTGAGAATCAAACCGCATCTAAATGACTCGTCTGTCAGTCTGCGTTTGATTACTAGACTGAACCCTGAGGGGAGATTTCAACCAGAGCAGCAGAGGAAAACAAGCAAATGTTAAAAGGATTCTTTCGTTAAAAAAGAACAACCTTTTATCAGGTTTATATGTTTCTTAATTAAATATGTTTTCAGTTTGCTATTTGCCTCAAAGGTTATGTATCTGTTAATGCTTCAAATGTCACTTTGCATTCGTATATTGCACGTTATGTTGTAATAGTCAATTAGATAATAGTTCAAACACCTCTCCCTTTTGTTTTTATTAGTTATATTCTGTTCATTTCATGCTATTCCCCAAAGCGTTCTTCAAACCCAATCATTACCTTGCATGTTTGCCCAAAACTGTGTGAACGCGTCCTCTGACTGATGTCAACTGGAGGACACTGGAGCCGTGTTGTCTTAATTAATGCTGAAGGTGGAAAATAAGGCTCATTAAGGGACACTGGTAAACATATGGTTATTAAATTGTTTTAAATGCTTCCAAAGAGAGGAGCCTTTCTAAAAAAACATGTTAAAGCAACCTGTTATTAGAAAATGTGGAAGGAACTAAAAGGCAGAGTTGCAAACCTTGAGGAGGCAGATCAATTAAAGGGAAGGCTGCGAGATGGTTCAGACATGAGAGACCTTCACATGGCATACGTTATTTACCACGACGTTTATCTATCACATTATTTTTTAATACAATACATAAGCACGTGGCTTTGCTGGCAAATAACTAGTTTATACAACACACCATCCAACCTGAAGGTGATCTAAAAATCCTGTCTTCAAATAAGGCGAGTAATATTCAGTTTCAATCTGGGGCTAACAGTACTCATTTTCAATTGCCATTCCTACTGTAGTGTTGCACTCAGCTGTGCACAAAGTGAAAACCATTGTCTACAGAATAAAAAGAGAGTTAATACAAATTACTCCAAGAGGTGTGTGTGAATGTGGGATTGTCAATTCCGATACCTCTGGGAGGGTTTGTGAAGATGTTTGATTATCTAACAAGCTCCTGGTTATTCTTTTGGGATATGCCACTTTTCCTTTCTTGAAAACTAGCGTTCCCTATCAGGAAAATGATCGTCACTTCTGACTCCGCTAGTTTTCAAGAAAGGAAAAGTGGCATATCCCAAAAGAATAACCAGGAGCTTGTTAGATAATNGTTCCCACCCCCCCCCCCTCCCCCCCCCGCGTGTCGCATTAATTTCAAATTTTCAGAGCGTTTTACGATGTGATGAACAGGGTTTGACCTAACCTTACACTATTCATAAAACAATTCCCTCTTACTTTCGCATTAATTTCTCGTGATAACCTCACCTGAACTACCAATAACCTGAGTCCTAATTAAGTAAACCTAAGTGGCGACATACCGTCTTTACTTTCACAACCTTTGATAAGTGTTTCGCTGAATTTGGCAAATTTTTGTGTAACGAGTGTCACTTGGTCTAAAGACGTGCTACACAAATACACCTAAGTTTTTATATATTATTAGATGGTTTTACCCCTCTGGGCTAGACTTATGCCGTGACACCTGTTATTGAGGTTGACTTTGGCCGTACCTGTGTTACACTGATACAAAATTTTTAGCGAATAGGGTCTTTTAGGACCAAACCTGTGAAATGCCGGTCTTCTTCTAAAAGATAATTTCTTTCCTAATATGTAAAGACAGAAAGATACCAGGATTATTATACGATGATGAACTAAAAATAATTTTAATTGAATTAGTTAATAAAAATAACATACATCTCTGTTCCGAAAATCACTGTAGTACATAACGCAATGTTAATTATGACATACATTGTTTTAGGGTCCAACCGTTGGTGCAGATGACATGACGGCAAAACCAGTAGATATGAACCCCATCTGATAATACATGAGTAAAGTCACATACTTCTGTTATTGTACACTCATACAACCACCCTATACGCCTGTATTCGCAGAAACATTTAAAGTTGATTGTCCGGTTGAGACATGGTGAAATTTAGTGTATGGGACCTATTCGATAACAACTCAGGGTAGAACAGTCATAATATATGACATTACAAGAAATTTTGTTTTGAACGCGAGATGGGGTGTGACTACGGAACTTTTATGTTAACACGAGATACTTTGTGTGTCAATAAGTTACAACAATACACATAATTGCGTAAATGATTGGTGAAGACCACCGAAGACCCTACTATGATACCTTAACAATATATACACTACTTTGACAAGAGAGGAACAAACAACGAGGATCGTTTACCAGGGAGCGCCGAATAGGAATAACTCACACACACACGACACACACACACACACACACACACACGACACACACAACACACACACACCACACACACACACACACACATCACACACACACACACACACAGCACACAACACACACACAGCACACAC